ATACACCCACCCGCACCCTCACGACATCTCGATTGAGGGTGCTGCGGTGCGGGTTGGCGATCGTATATATGTATAACTAAAACTAAATCTATTTCTATTCCTAAGCTCACAGGGGTGTGGGCGTATGTATGCATAACTAAAACCAAATCTATTTCTATTCCTAAGGGTGCTAGGAATTGGTCACTTATATTATAAGTCGAATTAGGCAGCTACTCGTATTTTGTTGTTATCAATAAATCTGACTAATACTTTGCCTGTCATTTGAATTCTCACTATTCCTAAACAATACATACCATGATTTTGCCTGATTATCATAGATCAAAATTTTTTAAATAAACTACCAAAAGCCTATCGCGTCTAACCTTTGATCACAGAATCATTCTTCTAACAATCCATAGTCACAGTATCGATCTTTCCACTTTCGCACGAAACCATATATGATATTAGTACAGATTTCACCATCCTGATATCCATAGATGTCTAACATGCAATTCCAATTTAAATATTCGCTCAGCCCTTCATCTATCCAAGTGTTTCAATCATTCCAGATCAGTCTGAGCACGTGTGATAGGTATGTTAAGGTTTCTCTCAACGAAGAAGTGTGTGATCAATGCACACAAGTAAGTATCTAAATGAGGGTGTGGGTGGGTCCGAAGGGGTTGATATCAATGTGAGGGTGTGGGGTGGGTCCGGACGGGTTGATATCAATGTGAGGGTGTGGGGCGGGTGTGGAGGGGTTGGTATCGATGTTAGGGTGCCCGATGAGTGCAGAAGGGATATAAGCAAAATGAGGGTGTGTGGTGGGTGTCAAGAGTTTAGCACAGCGGTGATACCATACAAATAAGGGTGCCGAAAAAGTGCGGAGAGGTTAAGAGTGAAGTGAGGATCCGCAAAGCGCAGCGACAGTTTACAACTACTGCAACCGTACAACACGAGTACTACATTACTTAAATATTTCAAAAAAATCCTTCAACTATTGAACATGTATATAAGCACCCAAAATCAGATTTCAAGTTTAAACAGGAGCGCAACATCACACTCAAGCCAAACCAGCGCCGATATCATATATCTCATATCGAAAAGCCATGTGACAATACCACTCTCCAATAAACAACTAAACACAACCCATGTCGATATGTTCGCTAGTGGTATGCGTACGGTACGTCGCTATGGTACGCGTACCGCGCAGTGCATTAATGCACTTTCGTGATTTTCTCATTGGTTCATCTCTCAAGGTAAATGGTATCAACGATCTGTACCGAGGCTCCTCACTGATTGAATAGCTTTTTAATATCTTTTTGAGAACGTTTCCACATTGATTGAATTTATTTCCTGAAAAATTGAAATCATATCACAATAAAAGAATAAACTAATAGAAGAAAAAAACACATAAAAATGTAAAAGAAACAATTAAATAAAAGTCTGAAAAAAAAGGAAATTCCATAAAATATAAAAGACAGACTTACAGGATTATTTTACTTTGTCAAGTAGTTATGACTACCGAATGATTTTCAATCAGCCCACAAAAAAACTCATTGCAATTTCCCTAAAAAAACATACATAGACGATCTAGAAAAGAGAAAATTTTTTTTGGTAAATTATAAAATTTTGTCTAAAAACCTATTCAACTTCGAAAAAAACATAAAAACGATTGCTTTCTCTAGTCAAAATTTCATTCAAAATGACGATTTTTGATTTCCATATATAGATGTCCGCTGCCATTGTTCAATTACACACCTCCACATTGGAAAATCACCATTGGTACGCCTGCGGTACGTGAGTCATAAGTGATACGCGTACGGGACGCATAACGTACGTGTACTATACCGTACGAGTGCGCCGTACGCGTAGCACTAGCGAACCTATCGACATGGGAAGATCTCTAATATTCCATAAGATGTCACCCTAATCCGATGTTACTACCCATTCACCTCATTGTTTCCCAGCACCAGAATTCAATATATAAACAACGCGAACATAATCTATATTGTACCATTCGCAACCATATGAGCAGTACATCGAACAGCTTCTTATCGGCTATCTGTCTAACTACGCAGATTATGTGAGCTTATCTATGATCTTCGGATCATTTGGATAGCTTACGCAGCCTAAAGCCATCTGATGATTCCTTTAGCCGGGATGAAACCGCGATAATGGCAAGCTTTGACTCACCCACACCCTCACCCTAAAAAAATTCGAGGATATCAATCACTTTTCTAGAAGGATGTTCAATAGGATCATCAAGGTCAAGAAGGAAAACAAAGGTGTTATTTTATCTGATGAAAAAGGGTTGAATGAGAAAGCAAAGTTTACTGATGCTGTAGCAATAAAGTTTAAAATCTATTTCGCTAAAGCAATATGCGATAGGAAAAACGATTTCCAAGGATTGTACAAAAGACCTTGGGCAATTTTTCGTCACCATTACTCTACAAACGAAAAACCAATGCATGACTGGTACGACGGGCGATGGCGCAAGTACCTCCAAGCTACTTCAAATGATCAAGAATATCACTGAAAAGAATTTCTGGAGAATGGTAAACCCTTAAAGAGGGCTTATAAGTAAAAAATTCATTCATCAACCTGCTCTATCCCTTGATAAACCCTTTTTTCCTCAAAAATCCTACGAGGGTTTGTCATACGTTGCAAACTGAAAACCCAAGGTTTGATTCTCACTTGATAAACCCTCTATTACAGAGTTTATCATCGCCTATAAGAAATCACCTTTTGAGGGTTTATCATTGTCCAGAAATTTTTTTCAGTGACGACCATAACTCAAAATCGACCGTACCACGAGAGCTTACCTAGATTTATTAAAACCTGTACTCGAGAAGTTATGTTCCAGCAATACTTTGGCACCGGATGTGAATGGTGGTTCGCCGAACGCTAACGAGGCGTTGCATTCTACGCTGTGGAAAATGGCTCCTAAGCGTAGATACTGCTCTTCAATGATTCTGCGATTAGGTTTTGGTTTAGCTACAATCATCTTTACCGACGGTTACGCTAATTAGGACCAATTATTTACCAGTATGTTAGCATCCACGGGTTATTATTTTGCAGAATGTTTTCGAAGACTTACTGAACACAGTAAATCCTCCAGAGAAGAAGCTCAGAAGAGATTTGCGAACAAAATAAAAGCAGTAATGGCTTCTGGTCCTAACGTTTCTTCTGCTGAAAGTAATGATGATGAGTTTGTATTCTCTATGGATCTAATCAATGATGATTCGATGAACATTTCTAACCGTTTGACGGTTTTAGAAATACTAAATGATAATGTTATTAGTGACTATGAGTCAGAAGGTGATGATTGATCCTTTTTATATTGTCTTTATTTACCAACCACTGATTCTTGGGATAGAATTACTATCGTGTTTTACATGCTGTGCTGTATTCAATTATTTGCGGTATGTTATTTTCGTATTGTTTATACTAGTTTCGCGCAGACTAGTTACTAAACTTTCGTAGAATCTATTGATCTGGAAACAATAAAAAATACTTCTTACCAATGTCCTCGTCATTAAAACGTTATTATGTTATCATATAAATTCACTTGTATATATCCCGATGAATGACATTCGTAATATATGCGCAACGCCTATTTACTTCACGATGGACGAGACAAACGCTATCAAATAGGCCAAAATATACTATATGGGCAAAATCATTTTAATAGCGGCGTGATATCGTACACTTTCAATATATGTATCTCCGTATAAGGAGTTCCTCGGAAGCTGATTTCTTTGCATAATATGCGTGGTTAGTTGTTCTATCTGCCTCAAGAAAACCTTCCTGTAAGGAGTTACTACTGAGAAACCGTCGCTAGCGACGTGACTCAAAAAAGGACATCGGCTTTCGCTTTTTTGTAGTTGGGATTAAAATGGCTATGAACCAAAGCATTATTTTCGAAAACAATACTATATATTGTGTGGACCACTTGGAACGCTATAAAACCTATATGCAATATTTTCCTCAGATCACGTAGATCTTTGGAAAAATCAATTATATTCAGCGTCAGCGGCGTGACCGAGTACGAATGGTTGAGCGAAAGAATACTCGCTTGACTAGAAAAACGGTTCAAACCAATTGATACAAACATGACGTATTCTTCAATACCTTGAGGGTGTGATGGTGAGGGTGCCCTAACATTGTAAGTCTTCTCAAAAGCTATGTTTGCATTCAAATATTTCGAAATACCAGATATTGGGCGAAGAAAGAAAAACTATTTTTCATTAATCTTCGAATTTCGAATGTTGTCTTTTCTTCTTCTTTTTCAGAAACAAACTTTCAACAGAAAGTAAAAACTGTTATGCAAAAAGAGAAGTGGAAGAATCGATCAACTAAATCCTCTAGTCCTTATGGAATCTTTATTGATGAAAACAAAAATAATTTTCATTACTGATTGGGGAAATCATCGTATTGCCAATGGGGTCCTAATAAAAGACAAGGAAAAATCATTGGAACGAATTCTGAATGAAAGAAGAAAAGCTTTTTATGGAATAACAAGTATTTTTGAATGAAAACAATGAAGATTTCTATTCCTTGACGTTGAAAAGTATAGAGTTATTCGAAGTGAGTTATCAAATATACTTGATATTTTAACAGTTTTCTACTCAATTTCTAGCTTTGTTTTTATGCGTTGCATAATAATACATCAAAGACTGTAGATTGACAACATGTTTACGTTCGATTGAGGAAAATGTGTGCTTTGCACGTCTCTAGTATATAGGTAAAGTACATATGTCCCTATATAGAGGTAAATTAAGGAGGCCTGTGCGAAAAAAACACAGGTACGTTCTATCATACTGTCTGTGCGTGTTATCAAAGTTATTTAGAATATGCATTGCATTATTTGATGACAAATGTATACAATAGAATTTCGAACATTGAAAGAATATTTTGATTAGTTTATTTCTATTATTAAGATTTGAACAGAAAAATATAAATTATTTGTAGATTTATTTGATTCTTTAAAACAATTCTTATGGATTAGACAAACGTTTTCATTAAATTGAAAGATGTGGGCTTTTAATTGAATTTGTTTCAATATCTTCTTTTCCAACCTTTTCCATTTCAGTCATATCACTTGGTGGAGGAATAATAGCAACGACTTCTGGTGATTGACGATCACGTTTTACTTTAAAACCATGTGAAATCCAATGATAAGAAGCATAAAGAGCAACAATAAAATATCCAAACATTGGAACAAGGTATGAAATTCGAGTAGTAGCTTTATCAGCAATAGTACCTTGGATTGGCGGGAAGACAGCACCACCTGAAACACCCATTACTAAAATACCAGCTCCGCGACGAGTATGTGGACCTAAATTAGATGTTCCCATAACAAATATACTTGGGTACATTAATGATTGAAAGAAATATAAAGCCATAAGAATAGCAACACCACTAACACCATGTCCAAGTGAAATATATAGTGAAAATGCAACACTAATTATTCCATAAACAAGAAGAACTAAATCTGCTTGTAAGAAATGAGCTAAAGCAACACCAAAAAATCGTCCAACAGTGAATATAATTAAAGCATAAGAGAGAAGATTTGATGCTTCACTATTAGTATACGATGCATTTTCAACACAATAATTAATAAAAAATGATCCAACTGTTACCTAAAAAATTGAAAATAAATATTTAAAAAAAGTCAATCAATACAATTTCGTCTATTTACTTGAGCACCAACATAACAAAATTGTGCAACAAAAGCAAATATCATATTATATTGTTTCCACAATGGTTTTATTTTAGTTTCATTACCACCTGTTAGTTGAACCATATCTTCTGCAGGAAATTCTGGCATTTTAGCAAAAAAGAAAAGAATTCCCACAAGAACAGCAACAATAGCAACAGCTAAATAAACATATTGAACATTTGTGAGACCATTAGCATCAGATCCCGAAAAGAAAAATTTTGAAGCAATTAATGGGCCAATAAACGATGCAACACCATTCCATGCTTGACAAAATTGTAAACGCATTGATGCAGTTTTTGGATCACCAATAACAGCAGCATAAGAATTAGCTGCTGTTTCTAATGAAGCCAGACCACATGCTATAACAAATGTACAAACGATAAAACCACCAAGAGCCTTTTTAGCATTTTCTTGATTGGAAAAATGAGCAGTTGGCCAAAATGAAATAGCACCGAGAGCAAAAAGAGATAAACCCATAATAATTGTTACACGATATCCTCTACGCTTAAGTACTTCAGCAGCAATTGGTGAAAAACAGAGATAACCACCTCCAAAATAAGCAATTTGTAAACCTGTTGACTCAAGTTTTGTTATTTTAAGAACATCTTGAAAATGTTTGTTTAAAACATCCAATAAACCATATGAAAAACCCCAAAGAAAAAATAATGAAATTGCCAAAGATAAAGGAAATATCAGTTTTCGACCAGTCAAATAAGGACCAGTATGTGCTGTTGTAATTATTGCGCCACCAGCCATTTTAATTTAACAATGAGTATACACGTAAATATTTCGATACGTTTTACTGTGTTATGCCTCTTTTATTTATCCAGTATTTATAGGTTTGTCTTTCTCTATCGTATCTTATTTTTCTATACATATAAGAAGTATTATCACGCAATTTTAACGAGCACCTTGCTGTATAAACATCGATGTAGACGACTATGATCACGATAAAATCATGCATACACAATTACGTATTTGACTAAATTGTCTGTACTCGCATAAAGATGAGAGACAGTAAACATTTGTTAATTATCTAGCACATTAATACGTGCATATTGAAAGTGTGGGTACTGACGACATCGACGAAATATGTATTTTGATAATAAGATTCAGAAAAAACCTTTCGTTGAAATTTCTTTGTGCGTTTCGAATTTCAGAATTATTTTTCTTAATGATTTATATTATTTTCGATCACCGATTGGATGCTTAGTACAGCTCTTATGTGGAATCGAACTATGTACTGTCACTGGAATTTGTTTTCTGCACGTTTTTGAAGGATAGCTATGCATAAGCTTGTTCAAATATTCAATATTGGATAGAACTCAATGGTGTTCTTTAGTGAAATGCGAAATTTTATTAATATGGATGAAATCTAACTGAGAAATAACAACTAGATAAGAGCTTCCCATGAAACCTCAACACAAGTATTGTCCTTATTCATGAATACAGATAATTGCTCGGCCTCATTCAAACTCTTCAGTACAAATCTATACGCTATAGGAACTAAATTGATTATATATTCAAGTTTCATTATTCTTATGGATGTCACTGAAGAATAAAATTCTTAAATATAATATTTGCAAAATTAGTTGTAGGTTATTAATATAATGATATAGTTGACATAAATTTGTAGAAAACAAGAAGTAGAAAAGAGGATCAGTGACATTTCGTTTTTCTTTCATATGATGTGATAACTTGTATACCAGTTATATATTTCGAAATCACAATCGAATAATCGAAGGAAGGTATAGGTTGGAGAGGAATGTGAGGCGAGGGAAGGAAAAAAACAAACTATACACATGGTAAATGATTGTATTTGTTATGTGTTCGAATATGGACATATTAGGTGGCGCATAAGTAAATTAATTTTTTATCAATTATATGGACATGTTTTAAACATTTATCGCTAAAAAATAGTGAATACTTGATCACACGTCATGAATTGTCATTCTTATCTCATAATATCCTGTTTGTTCATATTTACCATGAAAAATATAAAAATGTGATAAAATTTTTTATCGAATTGTGTCAAATGATATATCTGAATTCAGTAAAAAAGCTGCTTCTTTTAAATCGCTTTTCTAAACATGTTAATATTCAATGTAATTGCCCTTACGATTTTTCTACATACGCATGGTAAGAATACCTTTGCTCTTTCATATGATACAGAAGGCAATGATTTATCCCAACGTCATGATTGTATTCATCCATTCAAACAACCAGAAATCTTTTTTTTGTCGGCGAAGTGAACTTGCATTAGCTTTTCAACGACCAAAACGATTTTGTGAAACACGATCCGAAGGAGAGTGTTGAAGTGTTTAAGGGCAAAAATTTTAACCAAACCCCCCCCCCCCCCCCG